CAGGCCCAGAGTTCAGGCCCGACGACTGGACCCCCCCCCAAAAAAAAAGAATAAAAGTTCTCAATTATGTTTTAAAATAAATTAAACAAATTAACACATCCTGAAGATTTAAGAAGCATAGGGTGAAGTGATAAAAACTACACTCCTATAGTTTTTGTATTGATCAGATTGTATCTGAAGATATACTCTTATCCAGATTTTAAAAATCCTCAAAACCCTTGTAAGCAAGTGGATGAAGAACCTGACCTTTATTAAAAATCTGATTTAAGTCAGGTACCTATATTCCTAACTATTCAGGAGGCTGAAAAATCTTTTTTTTTTTTTGATCATGAGATTTGAACTCAGGGTCTGGGCACTGTACCTGAGCTTTCTGCTCTGCTCTAGGCTAGTGCTCTACCACTTTGATTGAGACCCAGCTCCACTTTTCTGGTGGAGATAAGAGTCTCATGGACTTTCCTGCCCCAGCTGGCTTTGAACTGCAATCATCAGATTGAATAGTTTAGTACTGCCCAAAAGCAGTACTTCAAAAATGAGTACTGCGAACTGTTATCTTGGACATGCTTTTAAAGTGACAGAAGAGTTTTTTTTTTTGGTCGGTCCCTGGGGCTTGAACTCTGGGCCTGGGCACTCTCCCTTAGCTCTTCAGCTCAAGGCTAGTGCTCTACCACTTGAGCCACAGCGCCACTTCTGGTTTTCTGGTGATTTATTGGAGATAAGAGTAAATAAGAGTCTCATGGACTCCTGCCTGGGCTGCCTTTGAACCATGATCCTCAGATCTCTGCCTCCTGAGTTAGCTAGGATTACAGGTGTGTGCCACCAGCGCCCGGCGTAAGACTTTTTCATAAACTCCAAAATCACAGAAACATTTTGAGAGAAACTAACAACAAAAGAAACAAACACTTTGGCTTTTTAAATGAATGCTGCATTTGTTTTTTTCAAAGAAATGATATATATACTTTAACTTTAGTACCTTAATCAAGGGATAAGGATAGGCCAGTCTGCTCCCAGAAGAGAGCTCTTTATTAACTGCTTGCATGGCAATACTATTTGTTCCACCTAAAACTTTCGTGCAAGAAGAAGACTCCTCCTTATCAGACATGGAGGATAGGAGGCTATGGTAAGACTCCCTCCCACTGCAGCATAGGAAAAGCTCTGTCTTAACGTGCTCAAAACAATAACTTCTGAGAACTTCAGAGCAGCTTATGCTGAGGCAGAGCTAGAGGGACTTTACTTGAGGCAAAGTAGAAGCTTAAGGCTGGTTAGAAAAAAAACAAAAACAATTGTCATTTTGGGTTAGAAGAGAGTAAAATACTCTAATAGCAAATAGTAGCAGATATTAACATTTAAAAATACATGGTGAACCAGGATACTTAGAATTTCTATCACTCAAACACCCACAAGGTATAAACTTTGATCCACACACTGTAACATGAACAGTTTCTTCTAGATGGGAACACTAGTGAGGAAAAAAAAATATCTTCCACTTAATAATGTCTACATTAAAGCCATCACAAATCTAGACTTTATTTTCTCATTGTCTATTTTTTTGTACTATTTCCAGGTAAACTGTAAACATGTTCTGATGCCCAACAGCAATGCTCTTGATGTGAAATACTGGAACACCATGCAGTAGTAATTAATGTTAAAGGGTCGGTAATTAATTGATCTCAATATGCTGTGGGGGCAACTTACCAGACAAGAGAAAAGGTATCAAATAGTTGAAAACCAAAAATTAATATAAAATACTCTGAGGTGGGTGCCAGTGGCTCATGTCTGTAATCCCAACTATTTAGGAGGCTGAGATCTCAGGATCATGGTTCAAAGCAAGCCAGGACAGGAAATTCCATGAGACTCTTATCAAGAATAAACTACTCAGAAAAAACTGGAAGTAGCACTGTGGCTCATGTGGTAGAGCACTAGCTAGCCTTGATCACAAAGAGGCTCAGGGGTAGTACATAGGCCCCAAGTTCTAGCTTTAGGCCTGGCCAAAAAAAAAAAAGAAAACAAAAAAAACCCACATTCTGATTTCTCTTTATATATTAATGGTAAAGCACTTGTCTAGCATGTTCAGTGCTTTGGATTTGAGAGAAGGAGAAATGTAAAAGAAAAATCTATGCAACAGCAAAGAAGTTATTAACCAGTTGTATCAGTCTGCTTCATTATTAAATGATAACACTATTAAACAAAGGGCAAAGGCCTGTCCCTTTTTGGTAAAGAATTAAGAACAAACTGGTAAGACTACTTAGTATAGGTGCCAAACTTTTCTTTAGCTTCTTTTCTTACAGACATGCTACATTTCGCAATAGCCACCACTTACCTTACATTCTCCATGTTTAAATACAAATTGTGTTTGATTTCCCCAATCTTTGCCCTAAGATATTGTGACGTAACATTAGTTTCTCTGTCTGGATGCAAAAGAAAAAAGTGAAGAATGCTCATTTTCCTGAACTATGAGTCCATTTTATTTAAAAATATATAAGATAATGAGTAATTGCAATTACTCACAACTCTTCAAGAATGAGTGGAGAAGCCACGTTTAACGAAGCAGACTTCATTTTAGTATATTAGTGCTTGCCTATACGATTTTTTTTTACAAAAATTACACTGAAAAATTTTACGATACAAGTGAGCTTCCTAGGAAAAATCTGCACACTCCTACAAACCTCACTTAATATGACAGGAATCTCAAAAAAAATAAATATATATATACTCTAAGTTAAATAGAAAAACTTTTTAAAGTTAAGAAAGTAGCAATCCCGGAATCTGGGTAGGAGGTGTCCTGGGTAGTAAACACCCCAGTGAGAACACATAATAAGCAATTCAGAACAACATATAAGTCCCTATGGGGCTCCAACTTTGGGTTGCTTAAGTCCCAAGCCCATATCTCCGTGTTTTGGAACACATGAAGTTTGGGAAGGAAACAGAAGGAGAAAGAACATCATAGAAGCAGAGCCCTACTTCAACATCCCAGCCTAAGTTAACGACCTGTGTATACTAGTAGTCTCCTTTCCAAACACCTCCTTATACCTCTTAGCTCTACTCCGTCCCCAAAGCCATGCCTTCTGGCTAGTCAACCCACCCAGATACTGTCTTCCTAAACTCACTCACTCAGTTTTCTCCAAATCCATACCCTCTCTCTGATATCAAGTCTGGGATATTAGTAATTTAATCGAAATACCCTGACTCTCATTTCTAATGATCTACCCCCTACTTTCTTTCCAGCCCATTTGTTCACCTGATCAAGGTCCTATACTCAAGTATTCAGACCTTTTTCCTGCTTATTTACCCCTGCCTTTTCCAATGCCAAGTCCCTAACCCCACTCCTTGGGACGTCTGCGTCTTCAACCTAGTTTAGTAGTCCTCCTCATTTTCCCATTCCGTAATTCCTCCACATTGGGCTCCACTAGGCTACTCTTCCCTCAGGATTCAATTCCCCTTTCCTTGCCACGCCCTGTGCCCCCCGGGGCTACTTACCCCAAGTTCTCCCCACACTTCAGGCCACTGGCCCCGCCTTCCCCCAAAAGGAAGGAGGCGGGAGGAGGGGGAGAGGAGGGCGGTACTCCGGAGGTAAAAGCGATCTCCCATTAGTGCTCATCGCCGCCAATCGTGAATTCCTAACCTCTTATTGGTTGTCTTTAGTTTACGCCCCACCCTCTTCCTCAGACAGGGCCCGGCCACCGCCTCAGCGCCCCCGTCCAACATAGCCTGGGAGGGGAGACCCTGGCCCGGGACGTTGGGGCTCGTCGAAGTTGGAGGGGAGACTCTTGTTAGATCACGGACTAGCTAATATTAACAGGACTCACCCGCTGGTAGCTCGTCGCCTCCCGCCCGCCCGCGCTCGCTCCTACAATCTGTCTCCAGCTCCTTCTTTCCCCCCTCAGCGGAGCAGATACTTTCCTCTCGTCCGACCAGGCGCGCTCGCCTCTCGCGAGAAGCCGGAGGGGGAGGGGCGAGATTGGTGGGGACTGAGCTGGAAAAGGGCCTGGGGGCGTGGCTTGCCGTGGGCCGAGCCCGCGTCGGAGACAGAGCGGGGACTGTACACACGGGGCACACGTGCTCGGCTGTAGGCTCCAGGGAGAGAAAGGAAGAGGGCATCTCTACAGGGCCAAGAAAAGTAAAACAGGCCGGGCGCTGGTGGCTCACGCCTGTAATGCTAGCTACTCGGGAGACTGAGATCTGAGAATCGCAGTTCAAAGCCAGTCTGGGCAGGAAAGTTCTCTTGAGACTCTGATCTCTAATGAACCACGCAAAAACTGGAAGTGGTGCTGTGGCTCAAGTGGTAGAGCGCCAGCCTTGAGCTGAAGAGCTGAGGGACAGTGCCCAGGCCTAGAGTTCAAGCCCCACGACTAACAAAAATAAAAGCTGGAAGTGGAGATGTGGCTGAAGTGGTAGAGAGCTAGCTTTGGAGGGGTGGCGGGTAGAGCCCAGCGATAGCACCTACACCCTGAGTTTGAGCCTCAAAACCGGCACTCACAGAGTACATTACCATTACCTATTGTCACCTTTTTGTGCACAACACCAGAAATGAATGACGTGGCCTATCAAATGTAACTTACTAACTAGTGATCCACTTTTTCTCATTCCTTGCTAGTTCCCACACTCCCAACCTGTTATTCCACTTCAACACCTATGAAATCCACCATTTTTTATTCCATGTGAATGAGATCATACAGTATTCTTTTTGTTTCCCCTGTGCCTAGCTTATTTCACTTAACATAATGATCTCCAGATCCATCCATGTTTTGCAAATGACAGGATGACCTTTTTTTTTTTCAGTTGTGGGGCTTGAACTCTGGGCCTGGGCACGGTCCCTCAGCTCTTCAGCTCAAGGCTAGTGCTCTACCACTTGAGCCACAGCGCCACGTCTGGCTTTTTTTCTGCTTATGTGGGGCTGAGGAATCAAACCCAGGGCCTCATGCATGCAAGGCAAGCACTCTACCACTGAGCCACCTTCCCAGCCCAGGATGACCTTTTTATGTCGGAATAGTATTCCATTATGTGCATATACCCATTTCTTTTCTCCATCAGTTGGTGGAAACTTAGGTTGACTCCATTTCCTAACTTTTGTGAGTAGTACCGCAATACGCCTACGAGTGCAGACATTTCTTCAACATACTTATTTTTCTTTTTTAGTCAGTTGTGGGGCTCTGGTAGCTCCCTTCCCATTGATTAGTCCACTCCTTCCCTTCTCCACAGTTTAGCATGCTCCCTTCCTAGGCAACACTAGGCCCACATAGTAAAGGCAGTAAATAATCAGCCTCCAGCCCCCTTTACCTTGGGATGGCACTTCTCTGGGGCAGCTACTACCATAAAAGGCAATAAGAGCCCCATATGGTGATCTTCAGGTCTGGGCAGTTGCAGGACCCTTATCTACTATTTGTATAGCAGCCATAAATCCTAGTCTGCCATGATGAAGCCCCTAGCCCACAGGTCCACACCTGGGTCTCTGCCTCCTGGTCCCTTCTACCTCTTCTAAACCCCCTAAGGTTATATAGGTCACCTCAGACAATAGCCGGTGCTTCTCACTTTTCCCTTGTGAGAAGGAATGTTGCTGGGGGTCCCCTTTCCTGGCAATAAACCTTTCTTTGTTCTCTGTACCTGGCTAAATTTAATTAATCTTTCACTGTCGCTGAGCTTTTTGCTCAAGGCTAGCACCCTACCACTTTGAGCCCCAGCTTCACTTTCTGTTTTCTGGTGGTTAATTGGAGATAAGAGTTTCACAGACTTTCCTGCAGGCTGGCTTTGAACTGAGATCCTCAGATCTCAGCTTCCTGAATAGCCAGAATTACAGGTGTGAGCCACTGCCCCAGGCTCATTTCATTTTTTTTTTTTTTTTGGCTGTAAACCCAGTACTTGGATTACTGGAATTTATGGTGGTTCTACTTTGAATTTTGTTGAGAAACCTCCACATTATATCCCATAATTATGGCTGCACTAATTTATATTCCCAATGTGGTGTAATAGTTTCCTTTTCTCCATATCCTTACCAGCACTTGTTATCTTTGTCTTTTTGATAATACCCATTTTAACTAGAATGAGGTGAAACCTCATTTGTGGTTTTGATGGGCACTGCACAGGTGGAACATTATTTCCATCTGCCTGTTGGCAATTTGTACATCTCTTGAGAAATAGCCATGTATGCCTGCCACTTATTTAGTATTTCATTTATGTTGCTATTGAGTTGTTTGAGTAACTTACATATTATGTGCATTAGCCTCTTGTTACTTGTAATATTTTTTCTGTTGATCATCGCATTTGTTCATTTTTACTTTCTTTCCTGTGCTGTTGAAGTCTTAGGCTAAAAATTCCTGCCCATTCCAATGTCACCTATGTTTCCTTGTAGTAGTTTTATATTTTCAGGTCTTACATTTACCTTTCATCCATTTTGTATGTGTGTGTACTGTTTTGGGAGTTGAACTGTGAGACTTGGTCTCTCATTTAGCTTTTCCTGCTCAACGCTGATACTCTACCAGCTTAGCTACACCTCTATTTCTGGATTTTTGCTGGTTAGTTGGAAATAAGAGTCTCTTAGATTTGTTTGCTGGGACTGGCTTCAAACCTCAATTCTCAGCCTCCTTAATTAGAATTATATGCATGAGCCCATGGTGCCCAGTCTATTGAGAAATTGCTAGTATACAAAGGAGTTCTTTATATATTTTGGATTCTTATCAAATATATGATTTGCAAGAATTTTCTCCCATTCTATGGACTGCTTTTCACTTTTAGATAGTATCCTTGGAAGCACAATTTTTAAAATTTTGACAAAGCCCAATTAATCTTTTTTGGTTTCTGTTAAAAAATTATTACCTAAACCAGAAGCTGGTGGCTTAGGCCTGATATCTTAGCTATTCAGGAGGCTGAGATCTAAGGATCATGATTCAAAGCCACCTGGATAGAAAAGTGTCTTAGAGATTCTTGTCTCCTATTAACCACTTAAAAATCATAGTCCAAGTGGTAGAACGCTAGCCTTGAGCACAAAAAAGTTCAAGGACAGCACCCAGGCCCTGAGTTCAAGCTCCACAGCCAATCAAATAAAAAACAACCAACCAAACAAAAACAAACAAACAAAAAATTACCTAAATCCAAGATCATAAAGATTTACTCTTCCTTTCGCCTCCTTTCTCCTTCCTTCCTTCCTTCCATCCACCCTTCCTTCCCTCCTTAACTCTCTCCCTTCCTCCCTTCCTTCTTTCCTTTCTTCCTTCCTCTCTCTTTCTCTCTCGCTCTCTTTCTTTCTGTTTTAGCACGAATATATTTTAGCATAACAGAATTAAAAGAGGGAGAAATGCAGAAGAAAAAGAAACAGACTCACATTGTAAGCCTAGCTATTTGTTAGGCTGAGATTGGGAAGATTGAGGTTTCAGTCCAGCCAGGCAGAAAAGTTCTGAGATTCCATCTCAACAGAAATTGAGAATGGTGGCACGTCATCCCAGCCTAAAAAAGATGATTGTGGCCCAAGCCCAGGAAGTAAGACTCTATCTTGAAAGTAACCAGTATAAAAAGGACTAGAGCCATGTCTTATTGGTAAATTGTCTGCCCTGAGTTCAAACTCCAGTACTACCAAACACCACAATTGCTAATTCAGTCTCTTTCTTTCTTTTTTTTTTTTTTGGGGGGGGGCGGTCATGGGGCCTGAACTCTGGGCCTGGGAGCTGTCCCTCAGCTCTTCAGCTCAAGGCTAGCGCTCTACCACTTGAGCCACAGTGCCACTTCCGGCTTTTTTCTTTTTG